CACACCTAGATATCTGTGCCCGTCTGAAGAGTTTCCTTGCAGTGGTTAAGTTGTTCCTTTAGGTCTGCGAGGTTTTCTCGAGTTTAGTCTTATAACTGGTGAGGACTCTTCTAAATGTTTCAACTGAGAAACTGTTTCCGCTATCAAAACATCAATATTCTCCTTTAGTTTTTCCCCTTGCTTTTTACCTCTTCCGCTACTCTCTCAAAATGGTTCAAGTTTTCATCCAGATTGTGCTGTGAAGAATTGATTTCCTGTTGAATTTCAATCAGCGCGTTTTGCTCCGTTTTATTTATGAATGTTTGTATCTTACGTTTGTTGTTAGGTGTAACTTCACTCAGTAAGATAATATCATGACCTTTGTGTGAAGTGGACACACATTTGGCACATATGACGTCATCACATGTCTCACAAAACCAATCCAAAGTCTCACTTTTGTGGTGTACACATGTAGTTTGATCCTAGCCGCGAACCACTATCTGTCCTTTGTAGAAAGAAATCGCATTTTCTGCCATTTCATCTAGTTATTTCTAAGGCAGGACATCAACCAATTAGTATTATCTATATATCATTACAAAGTAAGTCACAAATTTTGAAGGATATTATAAATACTGAACGTTTCACGTTTCATTGAACACTTGGTATTTAATGATTTTCAGCTTACCCTATAGTAATAATACAGCTACATATTTTCTTTAAATGATGTGCGTTCAGTATCAATGAACGGTTGGACAAGATGCGCAAAATAAATGTTATATTGTATTAAGCTGTTAGTAATAACATCGCATTTGTAAATAAGTGAAAATCTTTGCCTGTTCGTTTCCCTCAAGTGCAATATAATGGAGGTAATTTCACTAGTAAGCTTACAAATTAAATAACATATTATATGATGACCAAATTGCAGCAGTAACTGTGCTATCTGCTTTATCTGTGTACTTGCCCAGATGTGTTTTGGACTTGTATACCACCCAGTCACAATATATGGCCAATGTATGTAAGTTATAGCAATGTTGTTATCAATAGAATATAATTCTGTTAA